ATGGATGGTCAGGTGTCCCAGTATGGAATAGCCCGTTACTTTCTCACTCATGGAGCTCGATCAAACCGCAAACTTGCATATGTGTCTCAGTCCGTTTCCACTGACTCATTTGTTTATTCCTGCAAAACAAATGAAGAGCCTCACTGTTTTTGTTACAACAGCATTGCAGCATCTATTTTTATATTTAATAGGACAAACATTTTACTCATTTACATTAACTATAATAGATTAATTTGGAGAGTCCCCGGATATTTGCTATTTGAATCTTCTCATGACGGTATATGGTGCATGTATTTCCATTTACTCATGGTATCTATTATATCCATCATCAAAGTTGTATAGTTTTCTTCATATTTCTTATTCATATTTTGTGTTTTAGTTGCTACCCTGCATGGACCAATTTTTCTATGGCTTTGCTTTATTAGCTACTGTTTGCTTGGAGGAAAGCAGGTAATTTTTGCATGTCGGTCCAGAATCTAGCCACCTTGCTGGCAGAAATTTCTCACCAGTTATAGAATTTTGTCAGTTGTCTCCACAAAAAAATTAGTTTCAGGTGTACAACATAGTGTCTCTGAGAGTTTCTACTAGAACATCATCCCTGCAGAATTTCCAGTGCTCGCCCCATTTCCACCGCCGATAGTCAGCCCTCCCACTTAGAACCTTCCTGGTCCCTTCCTTCCGGGTTGTGCCCCGGTTCTAAGGACACTGCTTTGAGTATTTCACCCTTCTGCTGATGTGGAGATTTTGAAAAAGTATGGTTTGTTTGGTACCCGAAAGTTCCTCCTGTGATTTCTAGTATTTCCAGAAATTAGTGTTGAGTTTTCTCAGGTTATTTTTTTGAAGTGGGGGTTGGGAGAAGCAGCTACATATGGATCTCCTTTTTTTTTAATTTAGTAAATTTTCTAATTTTGAATATCCTTAGCATTGTTAGGATACACTCTTCATAGACACAATGCATCATTCTGTTAATGCATTTCTGTATTTAATTTGATAGTATTTTAGTATTTTTGTGTCTCTGAGATGAGGTTTTTATTTAAGTGGTTCCCATTTGCTTTGGTGTTAGGATTATATTAATCTTACAGAATGGCTTTGGAAGCTTTACCTCTTCTCTGCTCAGGAAGCACTTACATATCACAGGGATCCTTTGCTCCTTGAAGATCTGTCAGCAACGCCTGCGAGCGATCATTCCAGCAGCAGCCCTGAGCGCCTCCAGTCCTTGCGCCTCGAGATCGCCGCTTCATCTTCACTTCACTTCACCATTTTATATTTTCTATATCACATTTTCCCTGAAAATCTATTACATTTAGATTTCCAAATTTACTGACATGCTGTTGAAGGTATTATTATCGTCATGACCTTGATGACTATGGTTAGGTAACCTCCTTTCTAATGTTATTTATTGTATACGGTCTCTTTTTCACTGAAATACCTTTGATATACACTCATATTAGTTTCAGGTGTGCAACATAGTGATTCAACAATGTACATTACTAAATGTTCACCCCATAAAGTGTCGTTGGCGTCTGTCAACACATAAAGATACTATAATACTGTATATTGTCTCTTGTTCCTTAAAATGGGCTGTCAAATAGTAATCTATTTAATTGGTCTTTCCAAAATTACTGAATCTGGTATCATTGATCAAATGCTATTATTGTCATTTTTAAAATTCATTCTGTTATCAAGATAACTTTCTTCTTTCTTTGAGTTTATTTTGTTGTTTTTCACAGCTTTACTTTTTTTTTTGCAAATCAAATTATATAATTTAAAATATATAACCCGATGCTCTGACATATACATTTTGTGAAATGGTTACCACAATCAGGCTAATTAACACATCCACCACCTCACCTAGTTACTTTTTATTTTTTTGTGGTGAGGACACTTCAGATCAACTCTCTTAGCAAAATTCATGTGTACAACACAGTATTATTACCTATAGTCACTGTGCTGTACACGGGATCTCCAGAGCTTATTCATCTTGTATCCGGAGGCTCGTACCCTCTGACCAGCATCTCTGCATCTCTCCCGCCCCTCAGGCCATGGTACCCTCCATTCTACTCTCTGTTTCTGAGTTCAACTTTTTTTTTATTATTATTATTCCACATATAAGTGAGATCATACAGTATTTTCCTTTCTCTGTCTGGCTTATGTCACTTAGCATAATGTCCTCTAAATTCATCCAAGTGGTTGCAAATGGAAGAATTTTTGTTGTTGTGGCTGAGTAGTACTCCACTGTGTGTGTGTGTGTGTGTGTGTGTGTGTGTGTGTAATCTCACATCTTTTTCCATTCATCTGAGACACACACAGTTGTTTCCATGTCTTGACTATTGTGAATAATGCTGCAGTGAACATGGGGGTGCAAGTAGCTCTGATTTCATTTCCTTCAGATGTATTACCAGCAGTGGGGGTGCTGGATCATACAGTCGTTCCATTTTTAATTTTCTGAGGAACCTCCATAGTGTTTTCCTCAGTGGCTGCACTGATTTTCATTCCCACCAACAGTGCATGAGGGCCCCTTTTTCTCCACATCCTCACTAGCGTTTATTATCTTCTACCCTTTTGATGGTGGCCATTCTTCTTGAGGTTTTGATTTGTGTTTCCCTGATAATTAGCCATGTTGAGCGCCTTTTCATGTGCCTGTTAGACATCTGTATGTCGTCTTTGGGAAAATGTCTATTCAGATCCTTTGCCCATATTTTAATGAGTTTTTTGTTTTGTTTGTTTTGTTTTGTCTAGCTACTGAGTTGTGTAAGTTTGTTACATATTTGTTGCTAATCCTGTATCAGATACATGGTTCACAAATATTTTCTCCCATTCTGTAGGTTGCCTTTTCATTTCGGTGGTTTCCTTTTTTGTGCAAAAACTTTTTAACTTTGATGTAGTTCCCGTTTATTTTTTGCTTTTGTTACCTGTGCTTTTGGTGTCATATGCAAAAAATCATGGCCAAGACCAATGTCAGGAAGTTGTACACCATCTATACAACTCTAGACTCTTAACTTGCATGTCCAGCAAGTCTTGAACTTAACTAGCATCCTCACCCTCTTCCCTAACAACAGGAGCACCGATGTCTTACGTTGCTGTCCTGCACTGCATCAGGCATTGTTGTTTTACGAGTCAATATTTGTTTAGATTTGCCTCATGCTTAATGCCTTCACTTACCACACTTTCTGCATCTCAGAAGTTCTAGCTGGGTTGTTGTTTTTCTGTCTTAAATTCTTACTTTAGGATTTCCTTTAATGAAAATCTGTTGGTGGTTTACTCTTTCAGATTCAGTCTAAGAATACATACATTTTACTCCCATTTTTATAAGGCAGTTTGCTCAGGACAAAGAATTCTAGAGTGAGAGATTTTCCCTCAACATTTTGAATCTTCTTTTGACTTCTGACTTCTACCGCTTCCACAAGGAGTCAGAAGTGTGTCCACGGCCCATCCTGGGCAGTGGTTTATTATTTTTCTGGTAGCTTTTAAGAGAACTTTTTCTTTTGAATTTTGTACTTTCACTTGGGTCTTCCTAGTTCTGTTTTCTGATTCTTCTCGGGACCCACTGAGCTTCATTGATCTGAAGATGGGTGGCTTTCAACAGTAGTAGAAGATACTTCTCTCCGTTCTAAGCTGTCTCTTCCCCATTCTCTCTGTTACCACCACCTGGAACCCCGAGTTCCCAGACAGCCTAATTCTCTGTGTCTACACATTACACTGTTCATCATGTTTTTGGTTCTCTCTTCCAGGTCATGAATTCTTTTTACAGTAATATCTCATCTGCTCTTTGTACATAACTTAAAAATTTCAAGTCTATTTTTTATTTTAAAAACTTCTACTTGGTTCTTTTTCACGTGTCCCTGTTCTTTGACAGGCCCGTTGAGCTCCCTTTATGTTACAAGCCCTGCAAGGCGGCTGCTCTGCGGTCTCCAGGTGGTGGCTTGTGCACCTGAGGCCCTGGAGGGCTCGACCTTGTCGTCAGCTGTGGCGCCTTCTTTCGTGTCGTTCTACTGACCGATTGATTTATTTACTTACCTTCTTTTCCTGTGAAACAGCTGATCCCTTGGGAATTTTACCTGTAAGAATTCCCGAGGCCTCAAAGGTCTCTGCATTGGGGATTTCTTTTTCTTCTCAACAATCTGGGAACAAGCTAAATTAAAACCCCAGCTTGGGGTTTTTCAAACTTTCCAGCTGGTGTAAATTCACACCACAAACACACGGGCAGGCTGGCTGTGTTTTTCAGGTTTCCTGTCCTGCATGGCAAATTCATTTCTCATTCCAGCTCTATGAGGATGGACTTCGCTAGACTTTCCCACTGGGGCAGCCGTGGGCCAGAACCTCCAAACCACGTTCCTGAGTCTTTGTGAGGCCTCAGAGGTTGTGTGTCCTCCCCGCCTGCTCTGCACCGAGGGCCCCCACGAAGGCCCCCACGCCGACCAGACCAGGCCCTGGGGTTTGGCCTGAGGGGAAAGCCATCGTTGGCACTGACCGGGGTTTCTGCTTTCGTTTACGCTTTGGTCTCTGTGGATTTACTTTTTAACCTCATGCCGTCTCTGCAATGCATTAAAAAAATATTTTTAGCATATTAATCACTTCTATCTGACGGTTGTTCAGGGTATCTAGCTGCCATATTGCTAGAAATAGACGTCTTTTATCAACTGCCCTCTGCCCACGAGACAGTGAGTTCTGAGAGACCAGGAACCCTGACGGATGTACTTTCGCATCCTGGGACCTGACACATCGGCGTACGCACAGGAAATACTATTTGAATGAATGCCAAAAACAATCATTTCAAGTTCAACTAAGTACAATCAAAGCACTTTCCTTTCTGCAAACTCTTCAGGCTGTAACCCAACACGGTAATACGGATTAGAGCTCCTTGGGAAGTTGGTCACCCACGTGAACTTTCTGTTTTAATCAAATAAGTGGGAATTTGCCTAATTGTACTTTAATTCTAATCACATGAAGTTTGTGATGCAGAGAAGTCTGTGTTGGACACGAACTGCACAGTTAACGGAACCAGGTTCCAAAGGTTTAGGAAAACGTTCTCGGCATAAACACCCGGCGGCTCGTGCCCCTTTCCGTGACGCCTCTCCCCCCGCGGGCGCCGGCGTCGGCCGGGAGCGCTCGGTTCGGCCCCACGGATCCCCGCCCTGGTAGCCCAGCCCTCGTCCTTCCCTCAGCCTTTGCGGAAGGCGTGTGCGGCACGGTGGGAGCGCAGGCTGAGGCCTGTTCCCGGTTCTGCCTCGGCGGCCGACCCGGGCCTGAGTTAGTAAGCGCACTACAGTAAAAACGAAGTAGCCAAAGTGCACCTGGGCGCAGCAGTAAGTGCAAAGGACGTGCGCGCCTGCGGCAGCCAGAAAATCCACAGCAGGTGAGCGGCTGCGCTGGGGCAGAACGGAGAGCAACGTAAGGGGCGTGGGACGGGGGCGTGGCGTGGCGCTGGGGCAGGGGCGTGGCGTGGTGCT